TACTATCAGTAGCAAACAGTTTACCGCAGATTTTACAAGAAAAAAGCTTCTCACCTGTGTGTGTTCTGACATGTTTTATTAAATGGATTTTTAAAACAAATTTTTTATCGCATACCTCACAAGAATAAAGCTTTTCGCCTGTATGTATTTTATAATGTACTGCTAAATTACTACCAGTAGCGAACTGTTTACCACATGTCTTACAAGAATAAGGCTTCTCACCTGTGTGAGTTCTGACATGATTTCCTAAACTGGTTTTATGAGCAAACTTTTTATCACATACTTTACAAGAATAAGGCTTTTCGCCTGTATGTGTTTTAAAATGTTCTTTTAAACCGATACCAGTAGCAAACTGTTTACCACATGTCTTACAAAAATAAGGCTTTTCACCTGTGTGTGTTCTGACATGATTTATTAAATGGGTTTTTCGAGCTAACTTTTTATCGCATACCTCACAAGTATAAGGTTTCACACCTGTATGTGTTCTGACATGTTTTGTTAAATCACCAATTTTAGCAAACTGTTTACCGTATGTCTTACAAGAATAAGGCCTCTCACCTGCGTGTGTGTTGTCGTGATGTTTTAATAAATGTCGTATTAATGCATATTTTTCCGTGGTTATATACGCACAAGTGTCACAAATATATTGTATGGTAGCCGAGTGCACGTTTAAGTGATATTCAAACGCGCTTCCTTTATTGGTGGTATATCTACACAAGGTGCAAGTATATTCAGCTTCTTGTGTGTGAGCAGCTACAGTCCTCTTCAATTTCGAATCCGCGGATGTGAAGTCAACTTTCTGCACAAACAAAATAAACATAAGTGAGTTTTTTCTAAGTTATTTATTAAACACTAATAACTAACCGGCTTCCTAAGTTTCAGACAAGACTATTAATAGTTAGGTACACAGCTCATAACTTCAAAAAAAGCGGCCAAGAGCGTGTCAGACACGCTCACAAATAGGGTTTCGTAGTCAGTCATCGTTTAAGTGTCTTTCAGCATTACAAAGTTAATTTTGTTGCTCGTTTGTTTGCAGCTGTATGGTTACCAACCGCAAATTGAAAAACTTGATTATTTCCTTAATCTTAAGTGGTACAGTATTCGTTATAGTTTTCATGGTAATTTCATATTAAGAACTATATTCCATATTTTTTTTCAAATTTTTAGCATGCATACTTTAGAAGTTACAGCTGGAACAAATTATGGCTCAAAAACGCCCCTTTTAAAAGCAAATATCTCGAGACAGAAACATTTAGAGAATTTGTTTTAAAGAAACCTCCCCTTAGTTTTAAAAGACCTATTCAACGATACCCTACTCAATATAACAGGTGGAAAAAAAAAATTTTGCCTCCCTTTCACATGTATGGGAAGTGGGTTCAAAAAACAATAAAAATATTTTATTCTCAACATTACTTAATTTGGGTCAACACGATCTATCTTCATACCAAATTTGATATCGATTGCTCCAAAACTGACTTAAGTTATGAGGGCGCGGCATACAGACAGACAGACAGACAGATAGACAGACTTCGTAGACTACGAAACCCTAAAAATTAAGGATTATGTTTAACTGTTCACCGAACTGTGTAAAAAGTTACACCTAAAAATTATTATTATTACTTGAATTGGTAAATGTTTACCAGTTAAAATTTATTTTAATGTTAGCCAAATAATGCCATAATTTATACAGGGTGTTAATTTACATGCGTGCCATAATTTGAGGGTAGATTCAGTATCGGTAAAGTAAAAAACAAAACGTGACGCATACCGGTTGCAAGCATGAGCATGCCCTGCCTCGGTGCGGACCAACCGTCGAAGCTGTTCAAGAATAAAAATTAATCGATTTTTTAAAATATTTTTTGTGTCTTTCTTTATCGATAATGAACCTATCCTGTACCTTAGTCGCTTTTTACGACACCCATGGGAAAAAACTGAGGTAATGCTATTCTATGCCAGCATCACGCGGAATTTTATATCGATTTAGATATATTCTACACTTTACCATGTATCTTCTTTTTGATAAATAAAAATACATTAAGAGGGCATTCAACTTTTTTCAGAAAATTTGCAAAAATTTATAAACATGCAATTTTCTCGAAAACTGTTATGTAAAAATAAAATATTTCTTGTACATCTAGTCAAGCGTATCTTCATCTAAAAAATGTATTATGAAAATATTAACATTTTATTTTATAACCTGTAATAAAAAGCGATATCTAAAGCGACAAAACCAAAATTCAGGAAACAACCTCAAATCAAGTGTGAATTTTAGAGTTTTGGTTCATTGTAAAAAAATAAAAATTATGCAGATAAATAGAGAATATATTAGAGAACAAAGTCTATTATGAACATTTTACAATTTCGTTCAAAAATACAGAATAAAACCACGTATTTATATCCAAATTTTTGCAAAATAACGCGCTATTACAACGGCTTTTATATGAAAGAATAACCGTACCAAATATTTGAAAAAAATATATGTTTTTCATAAAGATATATATGTTGCAGGAATGTAGCGAAATCCGGTTATTCGCAAAATCCCTAGGAAAACTGCGAATTTGTTATTTGCATGGACATAAATCCAGGAAAACTGCGTATAAGGCAACACGCGGTTACGCCTACGCCCTGCTACGGCTTTTACATCTACTCTACGCCACTGTAGCTCGCGCACAGGAGCACTCGCGACGCTTCGTAAGCTCTCGTTCATGACCGTGACCGTGACCGTGACCGCGACAGCGACAGCGGTCGTGGTCGTTGTCGCTGTCGCTGTCGCTGTCGCCGTCGCCGTCGCCGTCTCTGTCGCTCGCTGTCGCTGTCGCTGTCGCTGTCGCTGTCGCGGTCACGGCCACGGTCACGGTCATGGCCATGAACGAGAGCTTACGAAGCGTCGCGAGCTACAGCGGCGTAGAGTAGATGTAAAAGTCGTAGTAGGGCGTAGGCGGCTTCGTAGCTGCGTGTCGCCTTATACGCAGTTTTCCTGTATTTATGTCCATTCAAATAAAGAATTCGCAGTTTTCCTAGGGATTTCACGAATAACCGGATTTCGCTACATTCCTGCGACATCTGTCGTAGAGCATTGTTTCTACTCAACACAAAGCTGAGTCACCTCCTATTGTTTTGTAGAATAGTTAAGTCATATTTGAACTATGTAAAATTTCATCATAAGCAATAAACTATTTTTGTATGGTCCAAATTTTTGTTCTGGTGTCGACCTATGTCACAGATTACCTATGTTGCTTAGGGAAAGTTGTTCAGTTTTAATACAGTTAAGTATACAATTTTTAGAAAACTTGCAAAATCTTCCACCGCAGGCAGGATTTGAACTGCGACCTTCGGCATCTGTACTGCCGGCGCCACTACCAACTGGGCTACCGCGATTCTAATCTAGCCTGCGAATTAAGTATATCTTGTCCACTAACGCAGTTGTCCCATACAAAAGTTGTTTAGTTTTATGGGCTGGTTTACCCTTTAAAATATTTGCAGTTGTTTTTTTTCACATTATATTAGTAGGACATATTTTGTTGCGCTTTCAGTACTTTTGGAAAAACAAAGGTATATTTTGATTGAAAGAACCGGCTAATTGCGAGTTGAACTCGCCCACCGAGGGTTCCGTACTAAGATTTGTAGGTTATTCTGGTTGGTAAACCTATATTTCATATGATACTCCACTTAGGCAACTAGCCAAATTTCTTAAATTTTGTTTGTTTTCGGCCCCCATAAAAACCATTTTATGAAAATATTTTTTTTAGAGTTTTTCCTTAATTCGTACTTTCTGGGTCTACGGAAAGTACCCTGTTTTGTTTACCTTGAGGGGGTAAACTTTGCTTGAGCGTTTTTACTGCATAAACAATTATATCTTTTTTAACTTGAAGTAAGGTGCTTGATTTTTCACAACTACTAGCGTTCATAGACTTGATGAGTATAACGGTTTTAATTTCATTTCGATATCTTTACGCGTTCCTGAGATGAAGGGTCTTGACAGAATGACAGACAGACAGACAGACGGACGGACAACAAAGTGATCTTTTAAGGGTTTCGTTTTTTACCTTTTGAGGTACGGAACCCTTTTATTTTATTTAACCATTTAAAATACGATTTTAAATGGTTAAATAAAATAAAATAAATAAATAAATACCATCTAATTCAAAATATTCGTCTACAATGATAAGTTCAAAATAAAATTCCATTGTTTCATCCTTCGAGCAAGGACGGGCTTGCCATCGTAACGGGATGAAAAATCTGCGCTATGGAAACTGAGTGAGCAAAAGAGACTTTTCCACACTGATTCTATTCTTTTGAAGGTTGAGATGTGAAAAAATATTAAATTAATTTCAAGTAACCCTGTGCAGATTATTCATAATCTGACTGTACGTACGTACGTCGACTTTTAAAGGTAACCTTTTTGGTATACAAGACTCCTAAATAATTCACAAAAAATAATTATTAAATATCAAGTAAACTAATATCATAAGATGTGTTAAGTTTATACTTAGTTTTGTTGCAGGTATTTTTACAGACATCATATCGTTTCCAACCAAAATTTTTAAAAAAAAAACGTGATCCGCACACGAAACTAGAAACAAGCATAGGTACCACACAGGAACTCATAACTCATTCAAAACTTCCTATTATTACCCAACTGCCTCAGAAGGCGGGTTATAATATAAATGTATGTAAGTTGGTATGCATATGTTAAGACGCCATTTGCACCCCCTATGGAGCATACTTTTACTTTATTATTTCTTTCTTCGAGTGGGACACCAAGTCGTGCAACGACCCCATGAACCCTGGTGTTAGAGTTTTCCAACCGCCTACTGCAAGTAGCAGGCCTCTGACATGGTTGTGTAACGACCGCCATCATAGACAGCAACCGGCTCCGACTGTTTAACATGCCCATCCGAAGCACGAAACCATCTTGCTTTTCGGTCATTCAGGTGGTTCAGCCTGCAATATACTAACCAGACTGGGAACAAATTCACAAAGTGATAAATATCATCTTTGGAACCCCACCGGGAATTGAACCCGGAACCTTCTGCGTGGCAGGCAGTTGTAAGTACTAACCACTGCACCAAATCCGGCTGTCAAACTATAACTTACCGCCTGGTTGTCAAAAGCTATGTCTCGTTCTTCGAATTCCTCTCCAACATCACATTTCTCCTCATCGCTGCTAGACTCCGGAGACTCCATCTTCAGCTCTTCAGGTTCAAACTTGGTGTCCAGTTCTGAATGAACGCCCAACCCTACAAAAAACATCACAACAGAATTGAAAATTTGTATTTCACCTTCAAATACATGGATTTTGATGTAGTTTTTTTGTAATAGATAGTGAGTCAAGAATAGGGTTACATGTATAACACATGCTGGAAAATGCCTTTTCCTGCGGGAAAATGAGTTGTAACTGGCGAAACCGCTAATGGGCCGCTAGTTTCGTTACAAAAAGCTCTGTTATTTGATTTTTTTTCTCTGGGCTGCAAGGGTGTAGCTTCCATGTCTGCTATATCATTATCATTATATATAGGGTGTATTTTTATTAGTGGCGGATCCGTTAAGGGTGTGTTCTGTCAATGAAACTGAACAACTTTCCCCAAGGAACATAGGCCGAAATACGAAAAAATTTGGTCTTCCCATACTAAGTGTGTTGGCCGGCCGGGTCAATTTGTATGGGAGGGCCGTTTTTTCATATTTCGACCTATGTTCCTTGGGGAAAGTTGTTCAGTTTCATTGACAGAACACACCCTTAACGGATCCGCCACTAATAAAAATACTCCCTATATATAGGGTTACATTTTATTAAGTAGGTACAAATCTTTTGAGGGTGTGGTCCACTCACGAAACTGAACAACTTTTGTTACAAACTTTTCTTCAAAATATGAAAAAAAAAATTTGGACATCCCATACAACAATGTTGAAAAAGTGTGTCACTTAATAGGAGTAGGTCCAAATTTATTTTTCATATTTCCATGAAGTTTCAGACAAAAGTTGTTCAGTTTAGTGAGTAGAACACACCCATATGAGATTTGTACTTAATTAAATGTAACCTTTTACCGGGAGTAACGGAAAGGGTTTAACAAGCCGAAAGGAGACAGAAAAAATAATTGGAGCTCCGATAGTAAATCAATTAGCTGATTTTGTATGGGAGGTCCAATTATTTTTTTCATATTTCAACCCATGTTCCATGAGGAAAGTTGTTCAGTTTCATGAGTAGGTACCTTGACCTCCTTTCGGCTTGTTATACCCTTTCCGTTAATCCCGGTATAATAAAACTAAGTTGATAAAATGTGCGTGTAAATATTTTATTGAATTACTTGTTTCAAGATCAAAAGGCTTTTTCTCGTCAGGTTCTTTAATAAAAAGCTGCAATAAGTCCGGGTGACGAGTCAACGTGACTTGCAATTGCTTGGCTCCAGGTCCAACAACAGTGCCTCGTTCAGCACTTCCAGCAGGATTTACTTTTTCCTGAAATTAAGAGCAAGTAGTGAGTAGTATTGTATTGTAGTAGTGAGTAGACAATTAAGAGCCAATAGTGAGTTTGTCATTCTCAGTGGCGGATTTACAGTTCAAGCCAGCCGAAATTATTAAATGCACGTGTCAAAGCTACGTGCATGCCAAGTTTCATGGCTTAATGCAGATGCTTCAAGTGCAGATGGGACCGTACCTTCATACAAACGTTAGGCTAAGAAGCCGACTATCATGAGTAGAATGGTTTACTTACAATTTTGACTCTCACATGAAGTTGTGTTTCAGACAGAATTGTATGTGCTTCAGGTGGATCAGCGTTGCTGTAAATATAGGACATACTTAATAAGCAGTAAAACAATTTATATAACAACCTTTCACTCCATACACGTCGCACAAAATAGTGTAGAGTAGTGTCGTCATCATAGACCTCGTATGTCTGTGACAGACAATCATTCAGGGACAAAAGGTGCCCACAGACGTGGGCTATAAGTCGCTAGTGATGTTGCCGTTCGATAGATCAAAGACAATAGATTCCAGAAAACTGCCTTGCCAGATATATTAAAAACTTGTTATTTTTACACGTTTTATTTCTTTTATTATTCTACTCATCGAGTTATTTGAAAATATACGTCTTTAGGCTCTTTTGTAGCTGTAGATCTTTTATTATGATTTATTTCAAAACACTTTGTCAATGATTGAGAAATATGTTTAGCTCAGCCCCCCTAAGTGCACCCCAACCCAGGCATATTTATAGCTACGTCTGCAGGCACCTTAAGGCAAGAATCTTCATGGCTATATTGCGAGCGAAGCGAGCTCAACATATCACATTACAAAAATGATAGCAGTAACGGCAGTAACTGTGTAGGTATAAAAAAATAAAATCCATTTATTTCACACAAACATTACACTTAAATTAGTGTGGGTTATCATATCAGGTATCAGCGATAGTAGTAGAAAAATTCCTGCATACGCTACTGGGGGTGGTCAAGGGGTGGTGATGTTCTACTCTGCCGGCACCACACAGCACCGGTACACCACGTAAACATACCTAACCTAATTTTGTATACTACAAGTGCATTACAAACCTGGTCACTGTAATGTCCTTAGATTCACTCATTTTCAAGCTTACTTATATAATTCAGATGTAAATTCAATCCAAATTCAATCTAGATTTAGTTAAATTTAAAGAAACAATGCTAAGTGATAGTGACAGTCGTGACATGACAGATAGGATTTGGTTGGATAGGGGTGCGTTCACAGCTGCATTTGGGAGGCTCTTTTTACGTTCTTTCGTAGAACTTTTATACAATGACGTCGCTGAACTTTACGAAAAACGAAAGTATCGAACTGACAGCTGTCAGGATAAAAGTTCTACGAAAGAGTCGTACCAAATGCAGCTATAAACGCGGCCCTGACAGCTTTCAGGATAAAAGTTCTACGAAAGAATCGTATTATATAAGTTCTTTTTTCTGATAGCAATTACCAATTCTTCTATTTGCATCTTATTTTTAGTTCACAGTTCAAATTATTTAATATAAGAAAGGGGGGTAGTAAGTTATCTTAGAACCACCGTAACGCGCGCTGCTTGTATGTGTGTGCGATAGTATCTATGCGTCGCCGCAGGCGCACACACGGACAAATCTCGGGTGGTTTCGAGGTGCGCTCGGTCGGGACCGCCAGTCGACACCGCACGACGAGTTACGCGTCACGCACGTCTTACCAGTACGGCGAAACCACGACTGCAAAATGGCTGATTATCGCAAACAAAAGAATTCCTTTTAGGAAAATTTTGCAATTTTTTTGCTTTGGGTCGCGAAAGTATTCCTATGCGTTTGGATGTTTGAATAATTTGTCAATTCAGATTTGTCTTTTTTTAAATCATCCAATGAAGACGAGAGGTATCTAAGTACCTACCTATTCATTTGTTTTATCATGATACCTATATTATTTTCTTGATGTTGTTGTACCTAACACGATGATGAGATTTATTAGTTGTCCATTTGCAGTAATTATTATTGATTTTCCATCGGTACGCTGCTAACTTATAGGTTCACCGAAGTTTGGGAGCAATATGTATAAATTTGTCATATGCTCCCTTGTAAAAAAATAAATAAATTTAAAAAAAGGTGCTTTTAATCTGCAAGTTGAAGTCTGCCGGTTGCTCACATTAGGTAGGTACCTAACGCAAACCCTTTCTTGTCGCGTGTGTGGGGCACCGAGCCGTAAACGACCCGATGAACCCCTGGTGTCACAGTTTTAAGCCAACTAGGTACCAGGGAGGCCGAAGAAGAGATGGTGGGATGACCTTGACGAGTACGATCCTAACTGAACCATAACATCAGCTAATCGGGAAGTCTGGAAGAAAAGAGGGGAGGCCGTTGCCCAGCAGTGGGACACTTTAGGCTAATATAATAAATAGGTACTACGGAATCTGACAAGATGTATACCTATCAACTTAATAGTCCGCAACTCCGCAGTTATAAGTTTGTTCACTCAGATGCGGTCGCGCGTGCGTGCCAGCACTTATCAAAGGAAGCCACCTCCCAAATAAAGGACGCCGCGTGCAACCGCAAAGGGCGATCGTATATCTGAGCGAACGGACTTTTTCTACCTACAAAATATACTGAGTTCAAAATGCAACTGCTCCACGCTGTCTTGGCGATTGTTATAGACACACTCGCACGCCAACCTGGAACAAAGATATTTTACAAGGAGACGCTGCATCTAGCAACGTCCCAGTACAAGAAGGAAAAAGCTTGGATATGATTCATCTATTGCAAGTCATCAGTTGAAACTTATCAAACTTTAGCATACTTTAGGTATTCATTTTTATTATTATCAGTACTCCAATTCATTTATTGAAACCACCAAAACTCTCTGGTCTGCTCAAACTCCAAGCCAGTATCATTGGCACAATAACAATATCAAGGCCTCCGAAGAGCGCCCTTACATGTTGACTTTCCTTGGATCAACCAGTCAACATGGTCCACATGGCCACGGACAACATCATCAGCTAAAACCTTTACCAATTTCTAACAAGCTGGCTTCCTCTAAAATCCAACTGGGAGCTTCCACACGATAGGTTAGTGACGGCTGTAAATTGGATCCCGCGTCCCACACAATCTCCCATGGCCTTTGTCATGGCATGCCATCATAATGCAATACCCCAAGGCTTTTCTCAGGGTATTGTCACCCCATCCGTGTGTAGATAGATAAATAGATTAATCGTTTATTATAATAATGTACCTATCTGTAAGTATTTCATGTAGTTTCTTTGTCCGCTTGAAACTCTTTAGAAACAGTCAGTTTGCTATTTTGAAAGTATATTAACCACTAAAAATTACGAAATAAAATCTTTTTAGCAAAAAATATCACCGCCGAAAACTGAAAAGCCAAAAATAATAAGTATTGTTAGTATAGGTACCTACCTAAGACATATTTTTGGAAATATTACCTACAATATTGGAACTGAGTAATTTTGAGTCGGCGTCATGCCAATGAAGCGTGTTAATTACTAAATTTGTAAAATTTATCGACGCCGACTCAAAATTACTCAGTTCCAATATTGTAGGTAATATTTCCAAAAATATGTCTTAGGTAGGTACCTATACTAACAA